TAAAAATTTTCGCCTGCGGCGCTTTATATTCTAAAAATCGATACTTCCATAAATAATGAAAATTTTTAATCAAAAATCGCGCGATTTTTTATTAAAAATTTTCGCCTGCGGCGCTTTATATTCTAAAAATCGATACTTCGATGAATAATGAACATTTTTAATAAAACATCGCTTTTTATTATAAAATCGATACTTCGATAAATTATGCCACATTTAATCAAAAATCGACCAATAAATAATAAAATTTTTTTATTAAATATCGCGCGATCATTATCTGCATTTTTTTATTGCTTCCGTTTTGTGTTTTTGAGGCATTTTTTCATATGTATGGCAGCACTGACATTTCACTTCAATTGGTGTACAAAGCAAAAGGTGAGGTTAAATTCGGTATTTATTGCAACTTTAAATGCGAATTACTTTAAAACTATAAGCCTCCGGAGCATTGTGGAAGAATACAAGTGAGATATCTTAGGGTTGACAGATAGTTGACAGGGTGTTCAATATGGCGATGACAGTGTGAACAATATGGCAGCCAATATGGCATACAACACCGAATGGCCCGAAGTAGCCAAACTACGACCCGAATGAAACGCTTCGTGAAAATCCAGGGTTGCGAAGTGGTATTTTGTTGGAAAATATATAAGCCAGGATTTTGTGCAGCGCCGAATTTTAACAAAAGAGGGTTTTGTGTTCTCAAGATGAACAGAAAAGGGTTGCTGTGCTGTTTCGTTTTAAGCTTATTTTAATCTTAAGGTATCTAATTAAATATTAAAAGGAGACAAAAATTAAAGCAAAAATTTAAAATATATGTACATATCTGAAAATTATAAATAAAATATATATTTTCACGAGAGACAAATTAAATAAAATGGGTTAACTTTAGGGGAAATATACTTATCAGATTGGGTCAGATAGCGCTTTTACGTTATAAATAAAAATAATTCCTACTTAAATTTTATATAATTTTGGTAACGTATTTCTAAGCTGACCCTGAGATCTGTGAAATAATATATATTTATGTGCATATATTGTGTTGATTATGCTCTAAATCGCTAAATAATTCTTGCAGCAATCAGCACCATTGGAAAGTGAAGTGACAATAGGCTGGTTTTCTTTATACAGCCCGTTTTAAATTCGTATTATTGTTATAATAAATTACAATTATTGTTTGTTTCCATTTCTGTCAACCGCGCAAATTATTTATTAAAAAAATGTCGTTTAAAAATAGCAATTTTGTTTACTTTTGAATAAGACTTTATCGAGTGCGCTATAAAGACAGGGGGATAAATGCTGTAAAGAAATATATGTTGAGTCCAATCGGTTTTTTGCTAATCCGGTTTTTGTGTAGGTATAAACAAGGTATATTAAAAAAATAAATCTCCATGAAAAAATATCGTTATTTTCGTATTTAAAATTAATCGGAATTTTATGCGGGGTTATAAAAACTCGTTTTAATTGAAACTTTGTTTTTTTCGGCTATATTTGTTATTATTTATTGGCCCAGATGCAAATATTGAATGAAGTAACATATTTTAAATATTTACGGAACTACCATTTGTATGCAACCCTGCCTATCCTGTATTCAAGTAGATGTAATTCGAAAAATTTAAACGGATTTCTTTAAATCAACCTGAGCTGCGGACATATTGCGAATTCATTTTAAAACATTAACCACTACATTATATTAGTATTAAATACTTTCAATTAAGAAACAATTCTTACTAGAAAATAAATATGAATCGGTTTATTTTAAATATTCCAATGTATATTTTTTGTTAATGCAGATAGTGCGGATTTAACGTATTTTATAACCGTTACATGGGGAAAAGAAATTTTAGGCAGATTGTTATTGACAATTTTTACATAATTTACGATTGCAATCAATTTCTTTCAAAACTATAATCTAAATGATTGCAAGTTGTATTTTATACGATCAAAACAGATTCCAATATTAGGTATATTATGCAAATGCAATCCAATTTGATTTGAGTTATTCAGTTTTAGATACATTTATATTTCTGTGTTCGTATGGAATAGTAGTTTATGTCGGGAAGCTGGCTTTAGTATAATCCGGCATTGCCTTTATTATTTACAACACATGGAATTTTTGATGACCCTTAACAAGAATATGGACGTGCTAGTATCGGAACTATTTCTTGCACGTTTATTTATCCAAAATTTCTTCAACGGCTCGGCGCCAGTGAGGGTATGCTGCGAATGCTGCATTATACTAAAACCAGCCTTTCGACATAAGCTACTATTCCATACGAGTGGAGCACGTGCGAAATGCGGATTTTCCCAGTTGCAGTACAGCAGTAACTCGACACCTTCCTCACCAACCGCTCTGTCCTCTATGAGCTTCTTAATGTAACTGCAAATAAAAGATGAAAATTTGAGAAAAAAATACTATCACAGCGTTTCACTTGTAGCGTTTCACTCTTGTAGTATATTGGCTATCAAGCACCAGAAAATTTCCATCACGCATGCCATATGCCACCGATTGTCGTGGATCAATTAAAATACTGTCATCACAGCTTTTTGGTACTCCAGCAACTGGTGTGTCTATGGCGGAGTTATGTGGAGCTGTTGCATGACTAAAATCAATTTGGGCTCTTTGAGAACTGGCTTGTTTGTTGCGCGCTATTGGCATCAAATGTATGCAAATTAGATTTCCAAACGGGCAACTGTTGAATACAGGAAAAAATGTATTTTATATGGTTCCGCTAAAGTGCACTACTACCGTGTATAAATTGGCCGACCTTCTAATAAATCCAATCCTATTGTATCGTGTTCGCCGCCAGTCACCAAGAAATTTCCACATGGGTGAAATGCAACATCATTCTCCGCGACGAATGCACTGTATTAGCTCGCCTTCAGCTTTGTCAAATATCTTAACGCGGTTCCAACTTAATGCTAAAGCCATCAGATTGCCGTCTGGATGCCATGCCAGCTGTCGTCCCATACCTCTTCCCCCGGTGAACGTTCGCATACATTCGCCTGAAAATGTATCGCAAATTCTTAACTTGTCGCCGCACGATGAAATGAACTTACCATTAGGGCTGAATTTTGCTGCGCGCACCCATTTGTGTGTATTTTGAATCAGTTGGGGTGTTCACAGTTCGTTCCAAATAGTGTCTGAAAATGTAGACGTCTACATTTTAAGACGTTTTCTAACCGTAAAATCTGTGGTGTTGTTGTTTCCCATACAAAATTGGAAAACGACGCCGTCTACATTTTGTCACACTCAAAGGTATGTTTTTTACGCGTCTACATTTTGCAACCTCGCAGCAGGGTTGCATTATGGCAATACTAATCACATTTTTTTTATTTATTGGGCACGTTTTTTGTATTTGCATTTAATTTGAGCGCAATTTCTGATGAAAAGAAACAAATCAAGGAAAAGAAATAACAAATATTAGGAATTGGTAATTAAGTTAAATAATTACAATTTTTCAGAAACAAAATCGAAAGGCGATATATAAAAAATGCACGCAAAGAGGAAATGTCTGGCAACACCAGCAAAGTTTTGAGACGATTTTGCGACGACTGCTAGAAAGGGGTGCTCACAGTTTGATGCTAAAGATGTCTCAAAATGTAGACGTCTACATTTTCAGACATAATTTGGAACGAACTGTGAACACCCCAAGTATTTTGATGGCTGTTCGCCATTTTTCTAGTCTGCAAACGAATAAGCTGACGAAGAAGCAAACAAATTCAAGCACATTGTTGCATTCTACCGTACATTTTAAAAGCTTTAAAATCTTAAAACATATGTGAAAAAACTTTTATAATCTGAATATTTCTAATGTCGCAATCAAAACCAAATTTTATAAATAGCATTTTTAAAAAGCAATCATCTAATATTTTTCAAGTTTTTGGGCATATATGTTACCATTTGAACAACTAATACTACCAAGTTTTAAGAGACTATTTAATGCAACTCAGGTCAAAAAAGCGCACTTTAGACCAAAATAAGCAACTCTAAAAAACAGATGATCGCAGCTGTGGCCCAGGATGACGTCTATTGCTAAGATATCTCACTTGTATTTGTACACAATGCTCCGGAGGGTGGGGTCTTCAGATTTAGAATCTGAAAAAGCTCCTCTATACTCCCTAATATTTTTTTTTTCAAAGCCTGGATCCGTTTTGGAAAATTTTCCCATCTTTCGACTGGTTAAACAATAAAGTGACACAAATGCGAAATGTTTCGTACTGATAAATCCAACAAATTCGACTTAGGCGAATTCAAGAGGAAGCTTAAACGTATAGCAGATGGCAGCATACTGTCCTATCGGCGGATATTTCTGCTTCTATTGGGGGTATGCGTATTTTTCTATATTTTGCCACCAGTTTTTCGCTATCTGTTTATGAGTGCGCCGGAAGTAAAGGGTGAGTTTTCATGTTTCTCAATATCTATGTATGTTTCGTCTATTATGTGCTAATTTATTGCACTTCCCAGATCCACATGTGCAGTGCATGGATGATCGCTTAACTCCATTTTTTCTGCAAAACTATGAATTCGATGCCAATATACGTCATGTGCCACCGCTGCCTGGAGAACGTAATTTCATACCTTACGTAGGCAATGGCTACATTGGCATGGAAGTGGCACATGACGCCTCCTTGAATATCAAATCCGGTCGTTCTATGCAATTGCCTATGCAATTTCACCCGGTTGTCTCGGTAGCGCAACGCAATGAAGCTGGGCGGGAAGCGACGGTGGTTGAGTACCTGTCTGGAGTTGTGCATAGGTGAGCATTACAGAAGGGCATTCATTAGTAGTAAAATTTTTTCTCTTCAACTAGATTCCAATGTTTTTCAAATTACTTTGTTGCCTATACCTATTACGCACACCGTACACATCCGAGCATCTTAATGCAGGAAATTAAGATAACAAATACTAAAAATACTATAGAGGAAGTGGAACTAATTTTTCCACGTATTTATTTTCAAACAGCCTCTACACATGCCATTAAATTAGGGTAAGTATAATTTAGAAAGTTACCGCACTAAGCCAGTGCTTATAATAAATAAGTATCACTTTGCAGTTCATCAACACAATCAACTGTACTTAGAGATTTAGAGGTAACCACTGGCACCATTTTAGTCGATGCTGACGATCCCTCTAGTATTATTGTAGTGAGCGTCGTTAAACCACAAATGAACCGCATTGTGCAGCTGAAGAAGCGTGGCGCTATCACCATAGTATTTCATATCGCTGTACATTATTCACAGCCTATCACGCGTGACAAATTTTCGGAAACGTCACAAGATGTTGAAAACAAGGCGGTACAGGCTATGACAAAAGTTTTGCAAAAATTACAAAACAAACCAGACACACAAATAAATACGCACACATTTCGCCAAGAGCATGTTAACGTTTGGTCTGATTTATGGGCCACAGGCTTCAATATTAGCACATCTAAAGCGGAGAATAGTTTGAACGGTGATCGTATTAATGCTTCCATGTACGCAGTGCTATCTCAAACACGCAGCTATGAATATGAAGAGTTTGTTTCGTTGAAATCGCCTAGTAAACAAGAAATAGCCAAGGCATTGACTTATGCCGACGGCTGTTATGATTCATACTACACGTTACAAGCGGAAAATCTTTGGTTGAGTGCAGAATCTTTGGAAAAACTGAACAATTTGGTATCATCATGGATGGTAACTTTGGAGAAACAGGTAACGGGGGCGCGCGCCTAACAAAGAAATCACCACATATGAATAAGAGCAAGTAACAAATTTCGTACTACTAATTGCAGGGTTGCTACAATCTGATACGTGCTGGCGCTTCAGGTGTAATACAAGCTATGGTTTTGAGCTTTGGCAGTTTTCGTTTCAGCAATCAACACTTGGAGTGTAATATGCATCCAAAGTATCTGCATCGCGACTTTCACTTTCGTCGCTTGAATTATGGCAATAAAACGCATCTAAATGTCTCCATCACAGTTACCGACGATAATAAAGCGGTAATTAATGTAGCGCTTGATCGTTCAGATCGTAGTTATTATGCCTGCGACGGTGGTTGCTTGGATGAACCAGTTTTGCTTACGTGAGTTCTTTATAATTGGGAAGTAGAAATGTTATTTTCTTAAATGATTAACTTTATATGCTTGCAGTCAAAGTCGCCGCCAATTTCCGGTAAAATTAACCGAACCGCTGACCGCGATTTTATATATTACAGAAGATAAACAACACATGGAGGAGCTCCACAAAGCTATACACGTTAAAGAAGTAGCCGAAGGTATGTATAAATTGCATGCATAACAAAAAGTTAATTTGAGAGTATTCTAACTTTTTTATGCTATTAGCTCCAGCACATGAGCAACATCTAATTGCGTTACATAGGCATGGTCATCAATTAGGCGGTTTGCCTACACTTTTCTGGGTATCTATTTGTGCAATAATTATAGTATTTCATGCGTTCCTATGTAAATTAATTATTAAGGAATATTGCGAACCTTCGGAAAAGTTAAGATATCGCTATAATAAACCATGACTATGAAAAATGGGTGTGTCCATTGTATGTATATTACAATTATAGTTAGAGTAAAACCCTTTGAACTTAAAATGTATGTATATATCAATTGCTCGTTGTGCTTTTTTCTTAATTTTTTTAATATGCGTATGTAAACGTAAACATACATTATTATATAATTTAGAACATTTTTCATTGTATTCACGAAAAACTTGCAGCTTAATTACTTTTATTTATATAAAACGATATTGCGCTATTAAGATATTTTAGCGAACTAGTTTATACGTGCTCAATGTATGAATAAAACATTTTTAGAAAATTTAGTATTTCTCTTATCGTCATTGCGAAAGCTACTCGCTTATAAATTTAGAGCTTTAAAAGGGAAGCAAAAAACTGCACAAAAGATGTTAATAAATCTCGCTTTGTGAATGAGTGTAGCTGATGGCAAACTAGCGGTTTAATTAACAAACGCACTTAAAAAGATGACTTGCAAAATAATTAAATATATTAAAAATCGGTCCATTGCATCGAAATTACAATAGTACGTAATTTTTCTTGTGAATTTAGCGAGCATGACAATAAAATTAACAATGATATCAATCGACAGTTTTCTATATTTTAATGTAATAAACATGGATTAGCACTACCTAGTATGTTGTAAATTAAATATTTAAATGCAAAAAAATAATTTAATAATTTTTATTAAATTCCATTGTAAAATATGTACTATAAGAAAATTAATAATACATCTTGTAATTCATTAAAATTAATAACTCTATCAAACCCATTTAGCTTCATTTATTTTCTTCAACTTTCTGTAAATACTTGTACGTTGAAATTACTCTTTCGTCACAGCGTGTATAGCCTCTGCCACATATGCAATATTCTTTGTAGACAATGCCACTACTGCAATGCGTCCATCCTTCATCATATAAATACTAAATTCCTTAGTTAAACGCGCCACTTGCTCTGGCTTCAATCCCGTAAAGCAAAACATGCCAATCTGTTTGGTAATATGCTCCCAAGAGCGTTTGGAACCGAGCGCAATTAATGTATCCGTTAATTGTTTGCGCATATTCATTGTACGATTAGCCATGGTTTTCAAATCTTCCAACCACATGCAATAAAGCTCGTTATCATTTAAAATCTCCTTCGCTATACGCGCGCCATGTATTGGTGGACTAGAGTACATGGGCCGTATAATGGTTTTCACATTGGATGTTACACGCTCTGCCTCTTCCTTTGTAGAGCAAACTATAGTTAACGCGCCTACACGTTCTCCATAGAGGCCCATGTTTTTGGCAAAACTTTGTGCCAAACAAAATTGATGTCCATCGGAGGCAAAAATGCGTATAGCTTCTGCATCTTTATCGATATCACCGCTAGCGAAGCCGAGATATGCCAAATCAAAGAAGGGATATAGATTGCGAGTCTTCATTATTTGTGATATTTCACACCATTGCTCTCTGTTCGGATCCACGCCAGTTGGGTTGTGGGCGCAAGCTTGCAACAGTACGATTGAATTTTCGGGCATTTTCTAAAATATGTACATATGTATGTAAGTTTCATAAATGTGGATTACATATGTACATATATTGGAAAATCAAACTAAAACTACTCACACGCAAAGAATCAAAAAGGCCTTGCGCATTCAATGCAAAAGTTTCATTGCTATAGTAACTATATGAAGCTACCTTGAGGCCAGAGTGCATAAAAAGTGGTCTATGATTAGGCCATGTGGGCGTAGGCAAATGCACTAAGCGTTCGCCCTTCCAGAAGATACCCAAAAATGCGGCACCTATACGCAACGAACCTGTGCCACTGAGGCACTGCGAAAACGTTGGATATTTTTAAAAACTTACAAATATTGCTAAGCATACATAAAAACACTCATACCTGCGCAGTTGAATTGCGTTTGTCTTGTAATATTTCCGAATCCTTGCCAAGAGCCAACTCAATTGACCTATTATAGAATTCGGCCAATCCAAGGATAGGCGCATACTCCTTATTCATTTTTTTGGAAAATATGCGTTTTTCAGCCTTATGAAGTGGGGCATAAAACCAATTGCAAAGGGAGAAACAACGTCATAATAAGTAAATACATATGTACATATGTACATTCTTATATTGTACAAACCTCTTCTACACTAGGCAACACCCAATGCTGTGCATTGCCATCGCGATAGGCGCCAACGCCTAAATTAACCTTTTTGGGGTTTTTGTCTTTAAGATAGGCCTCAGTGAGACCGAGTATAGCATCTGGTGGTGCCATTTTAACATCTGCGAACCAAGATCTGAAAAATATTTCAATTGATTTCAGATACGAACTGCTGGTGAACGCACATTGCACTCCTTTTGGCTTACTTATAACGTAGATAGTTGGTAGATGTGGCTTGAAGATGAAAAGTGGTGGTTTTAGTTAATTTTAACATCTTCCTCTGCTTCCCGTTTTTCCCCCTGTAGTTTGCAAATATTGATTTTTTTTATTTGAAGTTTGTTTTTTAAAGAAAAAATAATAATCCAAACCTAAACCCAGTATAATTCTAATTGATATCAAGTTTTTGTTTTATTGTTATTTATCTTTTTTTACTCAAATACGACTTTGTTCGATATTCTTAGTTCACATAAGATTACCATAAGGAAAATAAGTGTCACAAAACTTATTATAAACGTTTAATGTCCGAACGTAGGTCAATAATAGATAAATTTTAGGAAAATGCAATGCTAATGTAACTAAAATTTTACAAGAACATTACAATTCACTTGCCAGATTCCAGAGTATAGGCAGGATGGCCAGTAGTTTACTGCAAACTAACTTCGAATATTTTCCATAAAAATTGGCAGGCATGCATTACCTAAATGGCGTTCGAGGCTTTAAGTGGTTAAATATTCCAGGAAAAATTGTTGCATTTTGCTCAATACGTACTTTAGCAAATCAAAATTTCCGTCGAAAAACGGGTGATAAAACTTATCTAGCTTCATTATTAGTAGTAGTTTTTATAGCATTTTCACGAAATGTGTTAGCCCTGATTTTCACCTTTTATCCGACATGCATTCAAAAATAATCGAGTCATATTTGGCAAAGATATAGCCAAAAAGGTCGATGATACTATACTTTTTCACTGAAAATGTTGTACTGAAATAGTTTTTATTTTATTTTTTTGTTTGTTCCCATGTCTCGTCACCTGAGGGGGAAAAAGTGCCAAGTCCATTTTTTTGAAATTGTTTCGAATTACCTGCCATTCTGCATCAAAAACTAAATTTTGAAAAAATTGACCTTTAGGTATGTGTCTTTTAAATGATTTCCATTTGTAACAAGTAGCGATAATTTGCCCTCACTTCTGGTACTTGTGTTACTCTCTATGGGCTATTAAGCTTCCAAACAAAAAAAAAAATTAATAGAAAAGGAAAATTAAAAAAATATATGTATATATATTTTATTTATGCCCCAAGCTGTGGAGTGACGCTAACGCCTTCGCGGCAGATATAAGAATCAGATATCGCGCTGCAATCCGCTGTCGAAAAGTGGAAAGAAAAATGTTACACATATTTTTTATTAACCAGCAAAATAATGACGTTAGAATAAAAAGTCGTAAACAAGAAATGTAGTCAGAGAACCGCATGCTAAGGTTAAGTGAATGGTCTTTAGAGTAAATTCCGCTACAAACCGTATTGTCGAGCTTTGACCCGTCCGTAAGGATGGCGGTAGACCTTGGATCTAAGTTCGAGTGGTTTACCAGTCCCTTCTGCCTTGAATTCTGGTAGAACTTCTATTTCTATGATTCTATTCTATGAAGGGATTCTTAAAAAGTCTATGAAGTGATTCTTAAAAGGTCGTGAACTTGTCCCGAAATGATCTCGAACAAGTTTTGAAACGGTCCAGCAATGGCCCCTTACTTGTCCCAAAATGATCCCGAACTAGTCCCGAAATATTACTGTTATACTCTTGAACTAGTCCCGAAATGTTCCTGAAATAGTCCCGAAATGGTCCTAAACTAGGCCCGAAATAGTCCTGCCCTACTCCCAAATGGTCCTGAAATAGTCGTAATGATCCTGAACAAGCCCCAAAATGGTTCTAAAATAGTCCTGATATAGTCCCGAAATAACTCTGAACTAGTTCCACACTGATCCCAAACTAGTCCCGCAATATTCCTAAAATAGTGCCGAATTAGTGCCGACCTTACCAGGTCCCAAAATTGCTCGAACTAGTCCTGAAATAGCCCTTAACTAGTAGCGCACACACAAGAAGGAATTACAGAATTTCTACTGGGTTACACAAGAAGCAGTTACAAATTTTCTGCTAGGTTAACGCAAATTCTACGCATACCGAGAGCTAAGGTGTTTACACATCAAAAAACCTTACCATAACCTTAAGCTTCCCATCCTATTAAAATAACGCATACTGTATTATAGTTTATGGATCTTTAAAGTTATTTTAATTTTATTGAATTTTAAATGCTTTTATTTTCGTTTATATTTTATTGATTGTTTTGGGCGAATCGTAATGCGTACCTACGTTACATGTGTGTTTTCTAAATTACAAAGATTTTCGCTTTTTACCTATTAAAATTCTAAGAAATGTTCTATTTAGGTGTTCGTGCCTTCGCTTGAACCACAAGGAGATTACGCT